AGCTCAGCCATGCCACCAAACCAACAGAGAGCCACAAAGGCCAGGCCAAGCAAGCCCATCAACTAGGGAGCCAAGAAGCTGGGGTACTGCAATAGGCCCATGCTGTGACTATATATCTCAAGCTCTTTGAGGAAGAAAAACAGGTAGCAGGAACCAGAAGAGCCCAATCTCATTAGAGCTGCTGAGGCTATGTAGTTCTCAGTCAGAAAGATGACATGCAGGGTGGGGCAGAATGAGAAATAAGGCTGTGGCTCCTTCTTAAGGTCTGAGGGAACCAGAACATGGCACTGTCCTAGGAGCATGGCCTCCCTGTCCCTTCTTCAGTGACCCAGAGCGCGCCTTGAGCATGCTTACAACCTCTCCCAGGAATGACCCAGAGGAAGTGAAAACAGCTGAGTCAGCAGCTCAATTCCTCCTGAGAAAGGGAGTGGGAAAGGATTGCCTGGAGAGACTTTTAAGAGAATCCAATGAAGGCTCTCAATGTGAAAAGGGCTTTAAGAGCAAGATTTAGATTAGCACCTCGAGCCTGGCACTAACTCCATTCACTGGAGACATCTCCCTATTCCTGAAAGGAGGAATTGACCTGTCTAGGTAAAAACACTTATCTCCAGCAACCAGAACTGTAACTAAGGAACAATGGGAGCAGGAAGGGCAGGAGTTCCTTAAAGATGTAGGGCCCCCTTCATTCCACTGGTCTTGCCTAGCATCCAGAAAACAGGCTGCTAGGCCAATACCACCAGACCTAATAGGAACCAGGCTATATCAGATGAGCTTCCAGGATGCAGCAAGGGGTGGGGGTGGGGGCCCAAGTCAAACCTGTTGGGATAAGACCTGGTCCTGCATGCTGGGGCTGAGAGGGTGGGGTAGGGGGGACATAGCTGGCTTAGCCAGGGGACTCACCCGATGTCATCTCGGTAGACCCGGGAGATGAGCACCTCCCCCTTGTGATTATAGATGAATAAGCCTCCAATCATGGCGGCAGCTCAGTCTCCTCGGCCCATCGCTCTGAGAACTGACCTAAGGACAGGTGGGGGTGGGGTAAGAGAAGTCTTCAGAACCCTTGCAAATGTCCCCTGTGGGGCTGAACAGGTCACTGGCTTTTTCCCTGACTCAACCCTTTACTAAGTGACCCTGCAGCCCTCCCAGGCAAGCCCCTCCCCTCAGCTAAGCTCCAGTTCCTGTTTATTCCACACAGGATGGAAGAAACAGACAAGGGCTCAGGATTCTAAGGCCATCTTGACCCTCCCTTTTCTGGAGTCACCCCCATCCTCTCTTCACAGCGCTGAGCTCACCCCCACCCTCTCTCCACAGCGCTGAGCTCAGCAAGGATCCTTTTCAGCCCCCTTCTGTGCAGACTCAGGCTCCAGCCAGTGAGTCACCGAGAAGGCCTGCCTGCGGCTGCAGGAATGGCGGTAGGAATTACTCCAGCTGGCTCAGGCCTGGTGCCCCCAGGCACAACCTTTAGAGCACCAAGTCTCTCAGACTCCATTACCCTTCTAAGAAGGCAGCAGAGCCTGAACCTCCAGAAGTCTACACATTCCAGGAAAGGGTGTGGGTGTGGGGGTGGGGAAAGAAGGGAGGCCTTAGGCTCTGATGAGAACCAGGAGTGTGACCAAAGCAGGCACATCTCTCCAGGCAGTCAGATAAGCAGGCAAAGAAGCAGAGGGAAAAGGTCCCAGCACTAGCAAACCACCTTCAGTGACCCAGGCTGCTTATTACAGTGCCCAGAACCATCCTCCCTGCTTTGGGAAAAGTTCCAGAGTTCAATAAAAATGAGGGTGTGTGTGTGTGTATATGCAGATTCATAAAATTGATCCTTCTAGCTGAAGTTGTGATTCTAAACCTACCAAGTAACTCACTTTTGGCTGAGTGCTTATAAGCAAGGGGCAGGATATCAGAATTATTATACAAATATATATATATATATACAAACTATTTGGGTCAAACTAATTTAGACTGAGAAAAGGGGTTAATTTGGTTCTAGATTTCCTGGATTAGCCCTGGTATTAATTTCACATGGGGAAGCTTAGCAGACTTTTCTAAAACTGGAAAATAAAGCCTTTTACTGTGGCTGTCACCATCACCCAGACTAGTGAGAAATCTCTCAAGTGATGAAAACATTTCCATCCCTGAGTCCTAAAGAAGGTGAGAGAGGAAATGCAAAATGCAGGTAAAGCCCTGGGCAAAGAACCAAGTCTAAAGGTATCAAGTGGTAGGAAGTTCTGGGCACTGGAGAACTAGAGGTGGGGCTCTGGACAGGAACATAATATTGAGTTAAGAGACCCGTCAGCAGTATACTCAGGTGAATCCCACAGTTGCAAACAGAGCTGATGGGGCCCCTAAGGAAAAGAGACTGCTGTATGGCAAAGGTCAGGGCTTTGAAGAGGAAAAAACAGCAAGGAGAAGTTGACAGTGGCAAATACGGGAAAACTGGAGAGATGGGCCCACTTGAGCTTTAGGAACAGAAACACGAGCGGATGGTGGGCTTTTCGCTAGGGAAAAAGACATCGTGGGAAGAGATGGTGCCACGGGGTGCGGGGGCTGTCACAAGCCTGAGGAAAAAGAGCCGCGGGGTGTCACTGTGTGAGACCTGTCACCGTCCAAAGAGGCATTACAAAGAGGTGTCACTGTCTTGGGAGATGGAGGAATTGTCCCTGCGCCGAGGGCAGGTGTACGCTTTTTCTTTTTTTTTTTTTTTTTGGGGGGGGGGGGTCACCATCCTACTCAGGGGGCGCCGCGCGGCGTCCCTGCTCTGGGAGGATTCCGGTCCGTCTCCCTTTCATTAGAGGCGCCCGATGGATCAGGAGGAGGGCGCCGCTCCCCGCCAGTCCTGCAACCGCACCCCAAGCACCCCCGCCCCGCCGTCAGCTCCCTCCCGGGTCTGAAGGCTGAGGCCACTCCCGGGTATGGGCAGCTTTTCACTTAGCGCAGTGCAGGGAAGGGCAAGGCTGAGCAGCGGGACAGGCAACCCGCGGAATTCTCCCCACCCCGTAAGGCCAAATCCCCAGCTCACCTGGCGTCTGCGGCCCCCCGCTCCGCCGACCCAGCCACTCTCCGGATCCCAAGATGTCCGCCCGCCCCCCTGCTCGCCTGCCCGCTGCCTCGGCTTTCACCGCAGTGCTGCGGCCCCGCCCCAGCCCCAGCTGCGCCTGCGTGCCCGCCTCCCGCGCAGACTACAAATCCCGTCAGGCCCCTCGGCCTTCGCGCGGACAGCTCCGAGCGCCCCAGGCTAGGAAAACTACAACTACCGACTGCCTTCGAGAGAACGCCCCCGCCTTCGGGGATTAGGCGGACCCTACCCAGAATACACAGTCCAACACACGGCGCTCCTCCCACTCTATTTTCTTACTGAGCATCCCGGGAAGTGTAGTCTTTGCAGTTTCTACTGTTCCTATTTTGATATTTCCGGAGAGCTTCAGAGGATTAGTGCCGTTTTTTGAAGCTTGTCTGTTAATTTCGAATTGCTGTAGGGTCCTTTCTGTTTCCAGAGTCCAAGGACTGTCTTCACTTTACACACAAACGCAAAACTCGACAGAAGTGTCAGTGCTGAATTTACTGCTTTTTAATACCACCTGTGATTCTCCCATACTTTTCTCTTACTTGTTCCAGTTATATATAGAGCCTTTTCCTGGGGATCAAAACTCAAAGAAGGGGAACGGGAGAGAGGAGGCAAATTTTGGAAGAAACTAGCGAAAACTTTAATGTGTCAGTGCCCTCCTCAGCTATGCCTGTGTGTGTACCTTCTAGTGGCAGGCAACTCATATATATATATATATATATATATATTTTAGTTGGACACAATACATTTATTTTTCTTTATTTTTATGTGGTGCTGAGGATGGAACCCAGGGCCTTGCACATGCAAGGCGAACGCTCTACCGCTGAGCCATAACCTCAGCCCCAGGCAACTGGGGCTTAAAAAAATCGCAGGTAACTTGTACTTAGTTGGACATGGGATTCAAAATTCCCTGATGAACAGAATTAATCTTCACATCTGACCTGAGAGAAGACAGTCAACCATGGAATCTGAAATACATGCCTGGATCTGAAGAAAATCTGTTTGCCTTTCTCTCTTTCCCCTATATGAATTATAATTCCCACCCCCCCCCCCCCCATGATAGCTTTTCTTCACTTTTAAGGACCCAGCTTCTTTCATGGGCTTTAGTGGTAGTGGGCGGGGACAGTTCTAAATCAGGGTGGGGGTGTTGGGTGCTTCTGGATGTTATAAGATGGATTTCTGACCACTTTGCTATAAATGTCATAACTCAGTAATACAGCTTGGGAAGCACAGAAGTGGTGAAAAAACACTCCCTTTGGAAATATCCCTGATGGCTGGGGGCTTCTAGGATGTTTTGAATGATGAACTTAATGGCCTTGTCCTGAGCACACACTGTGCACAGTTCCTGCAGCAAATAGGCCATACATGGCTGCAACCCTTTTTGGCATGACCATTATTCTTTTTTTTTTGTCATCTTGGAATTGAGGACCAGAGATAGCTCTTCTGTTTTGGTAGACAGAGACAGCCTGCTGCCTTCTCTAGGCAGGCTTGAAACTGTCATGGCAGGAAGGAAGGGCAAAAAGGAAAAAGGGGCAAAACTGATTGTGGGGGCTGGGGATGTGGCTCAAGCGGTAGCGTGATCGTCTGGCATGCGTGCAGCCCGGGTTCGATCCTCAGCACCACATCAAACAAAGATGTTGTGTCTGCCGAAAACTAAAAAATAAATAAATTAAAAAAAAACAACAACAAAAAAAACTGATTGTGAACCTTACTGTCCCTAGCAGCCTTCTGCCAGAGGTCAGGATTTAGCGGAATGAAGATCTGGCCTCTCTCAAACTGTGGTCACATCCTGATTCCATTAAGTGACAGAAAGCAGGCATTTCTAATCCTTTAACCAGCAGCATTCAAGGCTTCACTTCTACACTTCTACCTCTGCCAGAATTTTATCTTCCAAACATACTGTAAATACCTGCCAATTTTGAGTAAATAATAATGATCATGATAATAATAATAATGGTTACCATTTATTGAGCACCTACTCTATCATGTGCCAGGCACTGTGCTAGGCACTTTTCGTACAATATCTAATTTAAATCCTCACAACAACCCTGTGAGGTAGGTATTATTATCATCATTTTACATACGAGAGAACTGAGGCTCAGAGAGGTTAAATAACTCTCCTATTACGCAACCAAAAGGAAATAGAGCTGGAATTCAAACCCAGAACAATATGACTCCAAATCCCAGGCTCTGGTAAATTAGAGGTAAAGGGGAACGAAAGGGCCAAATTCAGAAAGATTGTTGGAGTGAAAAAGATGTGATATGCTGACTGGTAAGATACAAGAAAGAATTTAAGCCTGTAAATGTTTCTGACTGGTGTGCCTGTGTAGTTGTGATGGTCACCAGGACAGGAATTCAGAAGGAACACACTTGGTTGGGGACATGACTTGAGTCCATATAGACATGTCCGTGGTGATGTTCAGTGGTTAATAAAAATACAGATCTGAAGATTGAGGGAATTTGGGGTTATATATTTGGGAATCACCAGCATATCAGCAGCAATTGAGGACATCAGGATTGATGACACCATTTTGGGAAAAAATACAGAAGAAAGAGAAGTGGACCAAAGAAGGAACAATGTAAGAATTGACACTGAAGGTATAGTATAGTGGAGGTGTTCTCAACAAAGCAAGACGAGGCAGAGTTAGAGGAGTACAGGAGATGGCCCTGTAGTGGTGGCTAGAAGAAGCCACAGCCTGGTTGGGAGTAAACTCGAAGCTTCCAGAAGGCAAGGAAGATTGAGTCACGTGTCCAACACAGCACTTTGTTCACTAAAACCCCAGAAGTATTTGTTGTATGAAAGAATGTCAAAATGCCCTAAAACCTGGGCTAAGGATTTCATATTACTCTTGACACCCTGTCCCTAAAAATATGGGAGCCTGGGCAAGTCAGGAGAATTTAAAGCAGAGGCTAGAAGAGAAAGTTGTGATTTGTTTAAAGTGGAGAATAAGGTTAAAAAAAAAAAAAAAAAAACTGGAACTCTGTTTGAAAGTCCTGGAAGCCCTCTTGCCCAACTCCCAACTGACCTATGGGTTCCTGTCCTTGTTCTGGAGTGTCACGGTGTGTGCAAACTGGAAGTGGGTATGTATGTGTGTGTGTGTGTGTGTGTGTTGGGGTATGTGTGAGATGGCCTGTCAGTTACCTGGAGAGTTCTCTATTGAGCCCAGCCTGAGATTCAGCTTATAGGCTTATCCAGGTAGGAAAATGTTGGGGATATGTGGCTTGAGGGCTATGAGGAAGGGGAGAGGAAAGTCAGGGGACCAGCCCCACTATCTAGGAAAGGACTTGGAGAGAGGGTCCAGCCCTCTGGGCAGGGTCCAGCCCTGAGGCTTAAGTGAACTTGCATAGGCACCTGTGTGTATTTGTGTGTGTGTGTGTGTGTGTGTGTGTGTGTGTGAGTGAGACAGAGAGAGGGTGGGTAGGGGAGAGATATAGAGGGGAAGAATATTCTATGGAAAAGAGAACAGAGACCTTGTGCATGGGTAAGGCTGAGGCCCTTCCCAGAAGCCTAGCAATACTGAAGTGTGGGTGTAGGGGCTGGACATCCTTGGGAAGCCCCGAGGGGCTCCTGAAGCAGGGTTCCTGGTCTCCTCGGAGGCTGGGCCTCCCCTTGCTGGGGGGTTCACAGAAAGTCAAACAGCCCGAAATTCTTGGCTGCTCCAGGCCAAGGGAAAATTGGGGGAGGAAAAAAGAAAGAAAAGAAATGTTTCAGCCGGGAGGTGAGATGAGCCTGCCAGTTAGTAGGGTTAGGGTCTGATGGAACCAGCACATGGGTCAGGCATAGGAGCAAGGGATCCAGCAGAGATGCTCTCTGGAAGCCACTAGCTGCTTGGGCACCTGAGGGGGCCTTCTGGCTTCTGATTAGGAATGGGTACAGGCAGGGGTAAACAGCATGAACAGCTACTGAAGGGTGACTATAGCTCAGGTGCAGGACTGAGGCAGCAGGCAGGGGAGAGTTAGGTAGGGCAGATGAAGTGACTTTTTTGGTGTCAGTACTATGGGGCAAAATCAAGAGATTTGCACACATGCTTGAGAGGGTGGACTTAACACCAGGATGGTGTAGCTGAATAAATGAAGGGGGAACAAAGGGAGAAAGGGGTACCCCCCCAAGGACACCACTGGGGTCAGCTCCTAAAGTGTGTGAGGATGGGGCAGAGGGAAGTAAGCACCAGCAAGTGAGGACTCGGGGACATGAAGGATCCTGGGAAGTCCCCCTAAGGTTAGTGAGCAGAGGGAACAAGCTAGGCCAGAGCCGGGTTAGGGAATGCAGAGCTGACTGGTAGATACACCCTGCCCTGGCTGCGCCGAGCGAGCAGTTAGCTAGCGCGCCTGGATTTAGTTGCATTTATTTCCCTTTCAGGTACCAGACGAAGTAAAAAAGACGGACGGACAGTTGGAGAGAGGGACCGGGTGCGGGGTGGGATGGCAGTGGGGGAGAGGTCCTGCTCACATCACATCCACAAAGAACTCACTGGGGTTTCCCATGGCCATGCGGAAGGACTGTCTGCTGGCGGTCAGTTCTGGGGGCACAGAGGCCAGGTCGCGGCCAGGAGGGGCTCCTGGGGGCCCCATGGCTGCAGGCGGCGGGGGCATCATCAGCATTGGGGGGCCGTAGAGAGGGGGCACTCCTGGAGGGCCATAGCTTGGGTGTGTGTGGTGGCTGCGCAGGCTGCTGGCCAGTGAATGGTGGCTGCGGTGGCTATGCTCACTGGCGGCGGGCCCTGAGCGCTCACTGGGTGCCCGCTCTCGTGGCCCCCGCAGGCTGCTGCGTGTCGTGTGGTCCGACTCACTGCCGCTGCCGCCGGACTTGGAATCTCCAGCCTTTGGGTCCTTCTCCTTCCGACGATCGCTGCCACTACGGTTTGAGCCACTGCTCCGACTGCCTGTGGAGGATAAGCAGGGCCGGGGTGGGGAGCACTCAGAGCTGACACCCTGGACTCACCTGTAGCTCCCTCCATGGTTCCCTCCGCCGTAATTACCTTCACTGTGTTGACTGCTGGCGCTGCCCCCACCATAGCTGTAGCCTAGCTCCGGGAAGCCTGGGTGGGGGTTGTAGGGGTGTGGGGGTGGTGGGTACTGGTAAGGGAAAGCCATAGGCCAAGGGGCAGCCCCCGGGTGTGGCAAAGGGGCCAGCGTATCTTGGTCAGAGGCACCGCTGGAACCGTCGTGGTCGTGGAGGGACAGGTTGGCCATGTCTGTGGAGGAAAGGCTGGGTAAGCCGAGTCTATTCCCTGTCCCCTGGACTCCTTGATCAGGAGAGGGGTTCCTGGCCTAGGTCAGGTGGTAGGCAACACTGGTAGTTTCTGGTCAGAATGAGAGTAGGTATGGCACAAGCCAGAGAGCTCACCCTTTCTGCACAACTCCTGGCCACTACCTCTACAGCCCCGGAGACCCTCCTCAGGAAACCCAAGTCATCATTTAAGATTCTGGGTCAATCCCAATATCCAACTCCCAGAACCTGGGAGGACCCTTCAAAATTTGTAGTGCTCTCTCCTTCCTTGTCAGTGGACTGAAAGAAGGGATAAGACTGCTATTCAGCCTTTTTCTCTTTTGTTCACTTAGAGGGTCCTAGGTCAGGGAATGTGAAAGACATTCTGTAGGTACTGCACACCTATGCTTCATTAAGCATACCACACACAGCACTCCATCTCCCTCAAAGACTGCCACGACCCATACAGGAGTTCTTCACTTTTCCAGAAAAGGAAAGTCAATCCAGAGAAGTTAAAAGAGCAGCCTGAGGTCAACCTAAACTATAGGCAGAACAGAAACTAAGAGTTGCTTGCTTTCTCTTTACCTCTCCAGATGAAGTCATTAGTTAGAAACAGGGGACAGTTTGGGGAAATGGTAGTGAAATTTTACCCTGTCCATATATATATGAAGCCCAGAACATGGGGCCTTTTAGAGGCCCCTTATAGAAGACCCTTGCCTTTATCACATTTTCCTGGTACTGCTGGGGTGTGGCTGGACATAAGGTGGGAAGGGCCAGACAGAACAACATGGGTACCTCTGGCCTGGCACCAACTCATTCTATCATCACTTATTTCATGACTCTGGCTTCCTGGGAGAAACTGTGTGTTCCTTAAGAGCAAGGCTGCCTGTGTCAATGCTAGAACTACCTTAAAGTGAGCATAATGGGATACCCCTTGTTCACACACCACCTCTACAAGTTCTACAGCTCTGAGAGAACTGTAATTGCCCTCTAGGGCAATTACATTTGTATGTGGCTCATACAAATGAGCTCTTCCTCCAAGCCCTCAGGTGAGTCAGCCCAGCCCTGCAAGGAAAAATCAGGAAGAGGGGCTCTGAGGTGGCCTGTAGAACCTGCCAGCCAAGCTATCAATCCGTCAAATGGACAGCAGCAGTATGAGGCAGGGTAGAGGGAAGCAGTAATCTTTCTTTGCTCACTTCCAAAGAGCTGGTGATGACTTTATCCTGCATGCTATTATCCTGGGAAGTAACTGTGTGCTCTTGGGGAGAAACTGAGGCCCCCACACTGCTACACTCTCAGCTTTGGCCAAATGAGAAGGAAAAGGCTCTTCTATCAGCATCACCCTGAGTTGGGCCTTGGGTGGCCTCGGGCCCTGGGTGGAAGATCCGGGTAGGCCTAGGGAAGAAACAATGTTTTGAGCAAAGGCCATAGCTGCCTTGGAAGCTTTAGGTGTCCCTGGAGGTTGAAGGTCAGGGATTAGTTCTGCTAATGATGAAAATAATAACCACATTTCAATGAATCTAAGAAGCTATTGATTACAAGATGTACTCCAATTTCAGATATTGAAATATGAAAAAAGAGTGCATTTTGGAATCAATTAAATATATAAACACGGATCCCCTTTTATAGAATATTTACCATGAGCCATACACTACACTAAGAGCATACATCTTATTCTCAAAAAAAAAAAAAAAAAAAAAAAAATTCCTATGAGATCTCCATCTTATAGAATCTTACAGATACACTAAGAGGCTAGATCACTTACTCTTACCTCACACAGTAAGGATGAAGCTAGGATTTGAACATAGAACTGCCAAATTCCAAAATCTTATGCATCTATCACTACTCCCTGGGGCCATACTTGAATTGCTAAGGGCTAGGGATCCTACTCTCCTCCCACAGACTGTGTTCTGAAGGATCAGTCATTCTAACATTCTAGTGACTAGAACCTAACCTGAAGCATTTTTTTTTAAGCTGTAGATGGACACAGTATTTTTATTTATTTTTATGTGGTGCTGAGGATCAAACCCAGTGCCTCACACATACTAGTCAAGTGTTCTACCACTGAGCTACAACTACAGCCCTAACTTGAAGCATTTTAAGAGTTAGCTTTAGATACCTATTGGCACTATTGGGCAGAGGTGGCTGCTGGGGGTGGACCTCAGCTCCCAGCCCTGAGCAGTGCTATCCTGTTCTAAGAACTCCTTACCCTAAGGATTATCCACAGGCTAAAGAGAAAGGAGGTTCCTTGTAGACCTCTACTACTTAAGAACTTTCACTGTTTTTGTGCCCTCTCAGGATCAAGTCAAAACTCCTTGGTATGGCTTACAGAATCCTCTGCCATCTGGTCTCGACAGCTTCTCCAGCTTCATCCTATAGCACAGCCTGCCTTCAGGGGTCTGAGGCAGATCCTACCCTAGTCAGTTCCAGATCCTCCTTGGTTCAGAGACCAAGGGCAGGTACTCTGTTTAGCATCACTGAGAAAATGTTTCTGAAGTACCACACACCTAGGGCAGCCCAGGTAGTGAGAAGAAACTGGATCTGAGGCTTAACACCTATGCTACTAGTTGTGAGACCTGGGGCAGACTATTTCACACTGAGAAATCTGTTTCCTCATCTGAGAACATGGATAGTAATCCTCCTTGCTTCTGGGGGAATTATGAGGATCCAGCAAGAGAGTGAGATAATACTTTTAGAAACTACCAACACTGTCAGGCACAGAACAGGCACTTAGAGCATGCCAGGCCCAAGAAGAGATGTGGGGCAGGTGAAGAGATTAGATAGGACTGTTTCCACCACAGAATTCTCAGGCCTTGAATCAGGCCCCATCTATGTTCCCTGGAGTCTGCTGCCATATCCCTGGGCACTCCCCATTCCCAACCAGGAGGCAGGGCAAGAAGGTCAGTGAAACACGTACTGCCGCAGAGGTCTCCGAAGATGTAGTAGCACTGCTCAGAGAAGGTGATCTTGTTGACAGTGTGGCGGATGAAGCCAGCTTTCAGCAGGTTGCTGGCATACTTTCGGGCCTCCCTCCGGTCAGTGAAGCCTTCGACATTGTGGTATAGCCAGTCTACCACATCTGAGCCTGAGGATAAGGCTGCCAGTTGATTGGGAGGCCCATCTGATTTGGGTTCAGCTGGCCTCATAGAAGCTATGAGGCTGGGGCTGGTTCCAGCTCAAAGGAGTGGCCCAAAGGAGTTACTGAGTCCCCCACCCCTGGCCTGCCCTGTCTGTTCATTCCCTACCCAATCCTTCATCCCTCCATGGGGCTTTCTCACCGATAAAAGCATTAGGAATGGTAATCTTGAGCCACATGCGATCTCGGACCTCCAACCCTGATTCAGGGGAGGCCATGGCTTTTACGATGGCGGCCATGTCACTGTGGATGGACAGATGGAAGTCGTCTAGGCCTGGAGGTGGGAGGCAGAATGGTGAGGCAGAAAGCGGCTTTGGAGTTAGGTAAATAAGAATTTGCATTCCGGCTATACCAAACAATAATTACAGATCAATGCTGGACAAATTACTGATTTCTTGGACACTCAGTTTTCTCTTCCATAAAAATGGGGATTTTAATATCTATTTACAAGGATATTTGAGTTCAGTTACATAAATGAAGGTACTTAGCACAATGCCTACATGTATAATAATAAAAATGGCACCCATTTAGTAAGCCATAATGCTTACTTTATGCCACATACCAATGGTGCTTCACTTATAGCTTCTTATTGAGCCCATAGGAACCTGGTAAAGTATATATTAATAGTCCCATTTTACAAGAGGAAACTGAGGCTCCCTGGGTTCAATGCAGGTTCAGAAGCAAATAATATTTAGTGAAGATCCATAAAGTGCCCACTGGGAGAAATCACAGTGTGAGGTAACTGGAATGAGTGGCATCCCCTCTCTGGTTCTTGCGGGTGCTTACGTTGCCCCTCATCAGTCCTCCCACTTGGCTCTGTCTGCTGCCCAGAGAACAGGGTTAGACACTCACGCTCTGTGTCAGGGATGGAGCTGGTGATGGAGGAGCTGGTGGAGGTGATTGTGCTCAGGGAGGGGCTCATGCCATAGGCAGGGAAGGTGCCCGTCATGGCTGCAGTGTGAGAGACCCAGGCCGCAGGGTCAATGGGCCGGATGGGCTCACCTGCAGGGAGGATGAGGAGTCACAGGCTGCTCACCCTGACCACTTCTGGGCCCAACAGGCAGGTGTGGGGGTTCAGGGAAACACAGCAGAAATGAGGGAAAGGGCTCACAGATATCAGCTTTAAGAATGAGTTCCCCCTACATCTACTCACTCCTGGGTAATGTGAAGCAACCACGTGGACTTGGGTCCCAGCACTTGGCTACAGTCAGGGTAATGGGCCTGAAAACAAAGATTGAGGGTAGAATGTGTGGAGGCCAGACAAAGCCTCTTGCATGATAACCAGAAATGTCTACCCCATCCTCCCCAGTGCTCTATTCCATTCATACCCTGGTTTGTGCACAATTTCCCGTAGTACCCGAACTGCATCGTCATTACTCATGTTCTCAAAGTTGATCTCATTTACCTAAGAAAGAGGACCAGGAGTTGGGTAATAGACTATGCAGGGGAGAGAGGCAGGGGAGCTGAGTTTGTGGGTCAGGAAGTCTTCCTCCAGAGGGCAGGGACTCCTCCCAACCTTCTATCCACACCACCACCACCCAGGGTGGGCAATGATACCTGTAACAGCATATCTCCTGGTTCGATGCGTCCATCAGCAGCCACAGCCCCACCTTTCATGATAGAGCCAATGTAGATGCCTCCGTCACCACGCTCATTGCTTTGGCCCACAATGGAGATGCCCAAGAAGTTATACTTCTCTACAGGAAGTAATTTAACAGCTTGATAAGGGCAAGAGTCCTATCCAAATTACCAACACCTTATTAGAACAGGGTGGAAAGGGACAAAAACTGACATGTACTAAGCCCAAATCAGGCACTGTATATATAGTGCACTTACCCATGATTTCATTCAATCTTTGCTGGCTGTGGTGCAGAGACTCTTTGTCTCACTTTACAGATCACGCAAGTGAAGTTTAGTGAATTTAAGTGACTTTTCTAAGCCAATAATTGGCAGAATTCAAACTCAGATTTCTAAGTTCTCAAATTGGGTTCTTTTCACTACATCCAGCTATCTCCTTTATACAGTCTATTGGAACCAGGTGTGGTGGTACACAGCTGTAATCCCTAGCTACTTGGAAGGCTGAGGCAGGAGAATCTCAAGTTCAAGACCAGCCTCAGCAATTCAGTGAGACCTGGGGATATAGCTCAGTGGTAGAGCACTTGCCTGGCATACATCAGGGTTCATTTCCCAAGACCACAACCAAAAGCAGGGGGAAAAACCAAAGAATACCTAGGGCAGAAACTAGAGAGCAAGGATGCAATGACTAAAGATGGCAAGGGGCAGGAAACCCAGAAACCACTTGCTCCAAGAAGGCTTCCCTGGTGCCATTTCTACTTCCACAGCTCTCTGTGCTTATATCTGTCATAGCTCTGACCATGAAGTACTGAAGTGATCTGTGTAAGTTTCAGCTAATGTTTATTCAAGAGAACTCTTTGAGGGTAAAGTTCAAATCTTGTGTCTCCCAGAACCCCTCATACCTGCCCAGTGTCTGGCATACAGTAGGTGCTCAAGAGTATTGTTTCCCCAGACTCACCCATGTTGAGAGTAACTGTGATGATGTTGAGAGACATGGTAGAGTCTGTGATGCTGCTGAAGGATGAGGACTGGAAGAGACAGAGGCCCTGAGCTGCAGGTGGGGGTGGCAGGAACTCATTGTTCCTACCTGGTTCCTCCTCAGCACTACTCCCCTCACCCTCTATGGTTCTAGATGCTGAACCAAAGGGAAGGGTTCTGAGGAAGAACAAGCTGAGCCTGCCTGGAAAGGGCTCACAATCTGCCCCCACCCATCCTGAGCATCCCAGGCCCCATACCCGCTCAATCCGTGAGACCTTCTGCTTCCGCCGCCGCCGCTTGTGTCTTCTCATCAGGCGTGAGGCACTGCTCTGTTCTGTGGAGCTGCTGAACCTGTGGGGCCCACAGTCGTTCCCCACCAGGCTGGCCCAGCCCTGCTCTACAAGAGGCACTGCAGGGCCCAGGTGCCCAACACAAAGCCCACATCCCTCCCAGGAGCCAGTATCCTCAGGGTTTAGGGCTCCTTGGGGTCACCTGCCCCACAGTACCCATGAAACTAAAGCCCCACCTGCTGGTAGAATCCTCCTCATCTGAATCAAAGAAGCTGGTGGTCTCCAGCTCACTGCTCATAAGGGTGGACGAGCTATCATAACCACCAGGCTCTCGCCGCCGCTCCCCCTTTGCAGTTCCATTTAGCCGGGTTGCTGCAGGAGATGGAGGCAGCTGCGTTCACACTATGCTTAGTTCAGGGGAAAAGAGGGGAGAGGCGCAGGCCAGAGGCTACTCTGGGGCCAGGCATAGCCAGAGCTCAGGAAACAGGGCAGAGAGGTGGGACTGGAAAGATGTGGAAAAGGAGTAGGGGTGGGGAAGGCAATCCTATTTGGGAAGACACACCATGCTCTGGGCCATCCCTCCGACGTGGCCGCTCCCGCTGGGCAGATACCAAGGAGTCTGTCTCTGTGTCATTGTCCAGGTTCTCCTGGCTGCCCCCACCAGCATGAGGGCTGCAGGGAAGAGAGGACTTGGTAGAGGAGGGGGCAGGCTGGGGGTTCCCTCCCCCAGCCCTGGGCTGAGCTGATGCAGTCCTCTCCCATGGGCCCTCCCCACTCTCGGCTCGTACTCACTGGAAGGATGGGGGTCGGGAGTCCCCGATTCCTCCCGTGCGCTCCATAGGTGGTGGCAGCTCTGATGGGTTATCAGCACAGAAGGGGGCTGGCTCTGGGTGTGAGCCCTCAGCTGACACCAGCTGATGGGGAGACATTGAGTGAGATCTATGTGACAGGGGGCACCAGGGAGATGGGGATGGGGAGTTGGCTTCTGGCAGGGCATGAAGGCCTGGGAGAATGAAGCAGGGAGAAGAGACAGGACTGTGCAAGGGCAGCTGAGGTGAGGAGTGGCCCCAGAACCAAGTTGAGGGGGCTCTTGGAGGCATGGGTTGCTCAAGTGGAGTGAGGGATGGAGAAAAGGGTCGGTGGTCCCAGGCAGTGGTCGCCAGGTAACAGCAGGTATCTTACTGGCATAGGAGATATTTTTATCTCCACATGTGTTTCTGTCTCTTCCCTTCATCCCTTCCCACCACTCCCACTTTTCATTAAAGTTGATAAAGCTGGGGTGAGAAATAGTTCAGTTAGAAAACTAAAGGAAAATTCAGATACTGAAGCATAAAACTCCCAGCTACGATCTCAGTGATGCCTTCCCTCCCTCAACCCAGCACAGGCATGCAGGCGGATAGAAACTGAGGCCTCCTTACCCAGGACACCACCCGGCCATTGAAGCAGGGTAGCTTAGCATTGTCATCTGAGATCTCCTCCTTCACAACTCTGCAGGGAAAGAGGGATGTCAGAGAGAACTTTCTGGCATGTACATGGAAGGTCCTCGCAATCCCAGTTGTACTCCATCCTAAACCGTGATTTAAGCTACCAGCACAAGACTGTTCAAATGGGAATAAGGGAGGTGACCCAGGGACATCTCTTTAGCACCACCAGGAAGACACCAGCTCTGCTGGGCCAGCTATCTTTCTGGGGCATCCTCTAAGTCATTAGAGGTCATACCATTTCCTATAACCCCCAAAGTGCTTTACCCAACCCCAATATGGCTTCCCTGGGCTAGACTTTCTCTTTTCCTCAGAGTCCCAAATTGGGAAAAAGGACACAATTATTGTGCTGGTGTTGTGGCTCAGTGGTAGAGCGCTCGCCTAGTATGTGTGAGGCCCTGGGTTCACTCCTCAGCACCACATAAAAATAAATAAATATAGGTATTGTGTCCATCTTCAACTAAAAAATATTTTTTAAAAAATGACAAAATTGGGGGCTGGGGATATGGCTCAGTTGGTAGAGTGCTTGCCTTGCATGCACAAGGCCCTGGGTTCAATCCCCAGCACCACAGGTGGTAGTGCGCACAGTGGTAGTGCGCTTGCTAAATATGTGTGATGCCAAATATGCATGAGGCACTGGCTTGGATCCCCATCAACACATTAAAAAAAATACATAAATAAAGTAAAGGTATTGTGACCACTACAACCAAATAAAAAATATTAAATTAAATTAAACAAACAAACAAACAAAAAAAGATACAATTATTACTGATCTTCCCTTTACAACTTGGAATCCTGACATTGTTCTAGGAGGTATGGACAAGGAGATTAGGAAATTAAGAAATAAGGGGAGAAGGTGTTTACTAAACATCTTCTATATACCATCAAGATAACTAATAGTAACAACTGCTCTCATTTATTAAGCAAGCATAATAGGCTGAGCATTTTGCTAGGTGCTTTACTTATATCATTTCATCTAATACTGCGATGCTATGAGGTTGGGGCAGATGGGAAACCAGGTTCAATATGTTCAGTAATTCACCTAAACTTACTCTACTAGTACACTAAGAGCTCACATTTGAACCCTGGTCAGTCTGACTCTAAAGTCTCTATTCTTACCTATTATACCAGCTTCTATCTCTATATTTAGAACATACAATCTTCACATCAGTCTCCTATGTAGACAATATGATCCATATTTCATGAATAAGGAAACTGACAGACATTCAGTATCTTATCCAGGGTCATGAAGCTCATGGATGTTAGAGCTAGAATTCAATCACAGGCTCATTTGATACTAAACCTACACTCTTCCCACTGTACTCTTTCCTGTGCAATGATACATTTATACATTCTTTCCTGTGCAATGATAAAGGTAGCATGGGTTTATGAGGAGGTAGGTGGTGAGGGGATACTGATATGGGGCATGCAGGGTATGGGATGTGGTCATGGCTTGTAGTTTGGTTTGAGGAACGTGGTGAGGTAAGAAGTCAAACACTGGCTAGGTTTGGGGCAGGGAAGAGAATGGAAAAGTTTGAGGACTGTCAAGACTATCAAACACATGGTACATTTGAGCAGAGAGGGATGACAGCGAGGGAGGAGGCTGGGAAGACCACTCCTCCCTCATTCTTAGAGCAGCTTCTGCCTAGAGTCAGGAACGTGCTTGGCTCCTTACGATGCTCACATTCTTGGACTCAAAGCCAAATTCCCAGGCCAAGCCTGCCCTCTTCCCTCCCATCCAGCTCTGGCTCCCCACCATTTCCAACCCCACAGCGACCCTAAAAGAACAGCCCAAATCATCTTGCTCGGGTTCGTGATGGCAGAGAGCCTAGAGACAAAATAGGCTGGAAAGAAGTGACAGAGAGGTAACCAATCTGGCCAGAGGATACCCCAAGCAGACTCAAATGAGAGCCAAAGCTGAAAGGAAAAGGGGGTGCATGTGCATGGACTGTATGTCCTACTTTGGAGAGGGTCTCCCTGTGTGGGAAACTGCTGCTGAGTCTCCCCGACCTCCCCTAGCAGGCCCCACCACTCTGCTCCACACTACAGATGTTTCCTCTCTTTCTGGGGGTCACCGACAGGTCGCCAAGGCTCTGCTGACTCACAATGATCAGCTGATCCTCAGCAGCCTTGAGGGACCTCAGACAGCCTGTACTCTTCTACCATAGAGCTGAATGGCTCAGGGTTCCATAGCACTCATGTACCCGCGCCCCACAGTCTCATTCTTTAATACCTGTCTCCCATCCCCCCATGGAGTCAGATAAATATACATTCAAATTCCCTCCCATTATTAGCCCTCCCATCCTAACTTTTCCAAGGCTTTGACTTGTCCTAGTAAGTGGGATTCTTAAATGCATGGTCAGGCATATAATAAAACAGTTACGAACTCTACCAACTTTTGGTGAGATTCACACTCTCTTTCTAACTAGGTGTAAGTTTCTAAAAGCAGGGACCAAACAAATCTTCTCATCATTCATCGTTCATCCAAATAAAAAGCTTTTGCTGAGCCAGATGCAGTGGTGCATGCCTGTAACCCCAGCTACTCAGAAGGCTGAGGCAGGAGAATCACAAGTGCAGGCCCATGATTGGCAACTTAGCAAGTCCCTGTCTCAAAATAAAAAAAATTAAAAAGGGGTGGGAATGTTGTTCAGTGGTACAGCACCCCTGGGTTCCATCCTAGTATCACACGCACACTCAAGCTTTATCAAGAGCCCAGTGGGCTTTAGGTCCCGTGATACTACAGGACTGTATGAAGCACCAGGCCTGGAGCCTGCCTTAGACTCTGAGAGGTTACAATCCAGTGGGTAGATTTGGTAAGCATATTGCAAGAGGGGAGAAGTTAGAGCCTCAAAGCAACAGGTGTGTCTACTGGATAGACATCTGCTGAGTTTTACTTAGGTGTCAGAAACGGGCTAGGAACTGGGTGGAGATGTAAGGATGAGGGATTTGAACCTAGAGAAGACAGGGGAAGAGTGTCCCAGGCAGAAGGTCCTGAGACAGAGCAGTCGTGATATGGAGAGGAAGCAACACAGTTTCCTAACTTACTATGGTACCCCCTCCCACAGCTCAAGGTCAGATTAGCAGCAGGGACCCCATTCTTTATCTACCATCTCCTTAGTGCTAAAAATGTTTATCCTTCTTCCATTACTCCACATAAGAGGGCTGGGCCTACCCTGGGTTTGACAAACACTTGTGGCGGTCAGATGGGTCTTGGAGTGGTCCTCAGATCTCACATCCTAACCTCAGAGGGTAAGCCTGGAGTGGAGAGACTGTTGGTAGGAGAGCAGTCTTTCTCTTCTAATGCTCTTTCCCTCCTGTCAACAGAGGTCCCTAGTGTGGGCTCAATAAGTGGTAGCCCTATCCACCTCCCCAGTTTGCCAAATCCACCATCTCCCAGAAAAGGAGCATCTGTAAAATGGTGATAACAATCATACCTACAAAAAAAAAAAAAAAAAAAAACAAACACCCTGTTTGACTAAGGTTTTAGACTTTGGAGCCAGATTACTGATGTCAGCCAAGCTCTGTCACTTACTAGCTGTGTGACCTTGGGCAAGTTACTTAAGCATTCTGTGCTCTAATTTCCTCACTTGTACCACCTATTTCATAGGGGTTTGTACCACTATTTCATAGGGCTATCATGAAGATTCTGTGAGTAAAGATTTGCAAAGCATTTAGATCAGTGTCTGGCACAGTGTAAGCACCATTTAAAAAAGTTTGTAAAATAAACACACTGTATATACACTCCTTGGCTAGTTTTCTGTGACCAGATAGCCCTACCAGGTCTCCTACTCATTTACCCTTCTGGGGCTAAAATTGTTTAATCCATCAATGTCCTATTTTTCTACCACTGAGCTACATGTCCAGTTCATTTTCTTTTTTATTTTGAGATAGGGTCTTGTTAACTCAGGCTGGCCTCAAACTTGCAATCCTCCTGCCTCAGCCTCCCCAGTTGCTGGGATTAGAGGCATGCACCACAATGCCCAGTTTCTCCACTTTATTTTTAGCATTATTCTCAATCCTGTTAAAACAGTCAACTCTAATATCCTTTAAGGTTAAAACAGTCAACTCTAATACCCTTCAAGTACCATTGATGTATGCAAGATAACTTCAGGGGGTACATGATAAATATTGCTTAGATCAATGTTTACTTATAACAAAATTTAGAAAGAAATATAAACAGAAAATGAGATCTGTGGTTGATTTTGTATTATTAGTGGGTCAAGCTTAGAAAAAAAAAGAGAGGGTTAACAGTAAATTTGAAGAACAATATTAAATAAACCGTAAGAGGATGTAATGAGTGCCCTCTAATAACTGCAGCTAGGTCTGGCTTAACAGAAGCCATGGGAGAGTGGGAGGCAGCACAGAATGGTCTGCTTAGAAGGCAGGGACAAGATGGGGGATGTTGATACAGACCTATTTCAATTTTCTTCAAGGCATTTGGTCCCAGCATAGAGGGCTCTGAATGACTTTCTCCCATCCTATACCCCAAGGCAGCATCAGTCCTTTCGGACCCTACTTTTTCCTGCCTGCCAAGCTGAAGTACCCACCTCCTGATCTCCAAAGCTTCCCGACTGATTCTCTTTACAGTCTTCCAATCAGGCATGTCTGCCTCAGACTGAAACCAGACAATCATCACCACACTAGGAGCCCCCACTCCAGGATAGGAAGAACAACAGAACCAAGAATAGAAAGAAACTACCTAGTATACTCCCCACTATACAAAGCACTTTCACACACACGATTTCATGGGTTCATCCAATTCTGAGTTCCAGGAGAGAAGGGGACAACAAACATGCCAGGCAGCAGACAGAAGGAGCTTTACTCCCTGATGCCAGGAGGGCTTGGGTCTGGGGAGAAGAGCCAGGCTGAAGAACACTGGGGAGAAGAATATCTCCCCTGACTCAGCTCTGAGGCCTCAGCTGCAAAGAGCAATGCGGGCCTCAGGCTAGGGCTGGAGAGGCAGCCTTCAGGCCTGGAGGACCAAGGAGGCCTTCCCAGTGGCCTCCAGGCCCAGCGCCCAGTTAGTGCAGGGCAGGCTAGTGTGGGGGCCTCCCCCTCCCCCAGTCCCCTGGGAGTTGGAGGGGGGGGGATCAGCCAGGCTCCCCCGCCCAGGCCAGCTGCTACAGAACCTTCCGGCTGCAACATTCCAACCCCTCTTAAAGGGGCAGTGGCTGCTTCCAAACTCTGCCTGTCCAAAGCCCTGTAGCTGGGCAGAGGGGAAGACCCCCACCAGCGAGGGGTACATGGAGAGTGCCAAGAGGCTCTTCCTGGCGTTCCCACCCAGGCTCTAAGGCCCTTTCCAATGTCTCTCCCTGAGCCACCATCTGGAGGAAAAATTGGGAAGGAAGATCACCACCTGGATTAGTGAGGTCTCTTTCTCGGGGCAGGCACTCTGCTCAGCCCACATCATCCCCATCAGCCCACATGGGCGGTAAATAAACATAAGGTCTGCAGGCCCTAGCTTCCAGCCTGGCGGAGCACCATCAACTCCCCTTTTCCCCAGTTCCCACAGCATAGCCCTTGGATGCGGGATACTCCAAATATGGCTCTGGGTTGTGGAGCTGAAAAGATAGGGAAGGCAAGCCGGGGCCAAATACCCCAAAACTATGTTAAAAAGGAGGCTCCCTGGAAGGAGGAGGGTTGAAGACTCTGGAACTGGGTGGAGGGGGGGTGTGTCTGTCTATGTGGGCCACTGGCCTCTAGGGAGGTGAGGGGGCTTGACTGGCAGGAACTAAATTGCTTTGGGGGCCTCGGACGACTCTCCGAGAGGAGAATTAAGAGTCTCTAAAGGACTGGAACTCCAACCCCCCAAAAGCAGAGAGGAGCTCCAATGGATCGAGTCGCCTCTTTGCAGCACTCGAGTGGGGATAGAAGTCAACATAGCCAGGGAAGTCCAAACTGGCCGCGTCGGCCCCTGGAAGCCGAGCGCGGGGGCTCCCCGGAGGCCAGGCCGGGGCCGTCCTCACCCGAAATCATCGTCCATAGACTTGAAGAAGAACTTGTAGCTGGGTCGCTGCAGAACGCCCTTAAAGTCCGCCAAGGTGACGCGCTCGGCGGGCAGGGGCAGCTTCACCAGGTACGGCGTCTCCTGCCCGTCCAGGTGGTAGATGATCTTGGTCTCGCCCATGGCTCCGGCCTCGGGCCGGGTGGCCCGCGCGCGGCCTGCTAGGGCGGCCGGGCCGGGCCTCTCGGGCGGCGGCGGCGCTCGGCGCGGCCCAGCGGCTCAGCCCCGCTCGGCGGCCGGCCGAGGCGCCAGCTCCCTTGTTCTCCGGCCTCTCCCGGGTCCCAGCGCCGCCTGCCGCCGCTGCTTCCGCTCCCCACTCTCCCGGCTCCGCTGGCCACAGCGATTCTTCCGGTGGCCGTGGCCCTCCCGGCTCTGGGCTGCGGCCGGGCCCGCTCCCCTCCCCCGGCCCGGGCCCCGCCCCGGCGCGGCCCCGCCTCTGGCCGCCGCGGAGCCGCGCTGGCCTCGCTGCTGATGGCCGGGCCTGGGCCGGGCCTGCGGACTCCCCGCCCACCCTTCGGGCGGCGGCGCTTGCCTCTGGCGCTCGGGTCCCAGGCCCTCACAGATGGAAGGGGAGGTCTTTGCTGGATGACTCTGTTCCCGGACCTTTCAAGGTCCTTATTCTAGACCCAAAGGGGATTGGTGGCTTTCCTGTATCCCTGGAGGGTTGGAATGCAGGAGTCGCTTTGGTCCCCAGAGACGGTCTGGGGGAGGAGGGTGAATCTGAAGATCAGACTGTGGATATCTGGAGGAGAGTGGCCTCAACAAGCCCTTTAGGATCTGCTAGAAGCACAGCTGCTGTCATTGAGGTTTACTTAACTGAGCTCCTTGAGGACAGGACAGGATCAAGTTCTGGTTTATCCTTCTAACCTCAATGCCTAGATGCAAGGTCGGTTCCCAACAGATGCCCTCATCCCTTGGTTTTTTAATTCATTAAATAAATATCGAGTGCCCATTACACTGCAAGGTATGCTGCACGTGAAGGCAGTAGCAAGACAGACAAGTCTGCCCTTAGGACCTTGACGCCACTGGAAGCTCACAGGCTTATTAACTTATTTAACTTCTTACAAATGCTAAGAAGAAGATAAAACGAAGTGTTGGGATAGTGACAGGAGAAAGAGGATTCTGGGTGACCAGAGAAGACCTCTTCCATCTGAGTTAATAATGAGAGAGCAGCTATGAGATCTGGGGGAAGAATATTTCAGAGAGCACAGTTAAGTGTAAAGGCTCAAAAAAGGAATAAGATTGCCACGTGTGAAGAACAAGGCAGCCATTGTGACTGGAAGGACAGTTGTACCAGGCTAGAACGGTAGATATGAGTCTGATCACATAGGGAATTTTACAGTAACTGGTGTGGGGTCTGCTCATTCCATTCTGTACATAGTGGCCAAATTAGCTTAAAGTATCTTTCCAATAACTTTTCTGCTCAGAAACCTCTTTAACTTTCCTCAGATGCATTTCAAATGTCCTCAGCATGATATTTAAAGTCCTTCATAATCTAAGTTCCACCTACCTTTTAGTCTTTGTCCATATCCTGGCCAAACTTTTGACTGCAGGCAAATGAATATTCTTGCTAGCTGCTGTACAGACCTTGTATATTTTCATTTCTTTCTCTTTACTTTTAATTTTTTAATCAAAGTAACATGTGCATAACCAAATAGTGTAAAACGTTTTTATTATTTTTTTAGTTGTTGATGGATTTTTATTTTATTCATTAATATGTGGTGCTGAGAATCGAACCCAGTGCCTCACACATGCTAGGCAAGTGCTCTACCACTGAGCCACGACCCCAGCCCCAAATAGTGTTAAACTTTTAACAAAGCAGAAGTCTTTTTAATTTTCCTCCTCATTCACCTCCTTTTACCCTCTTAAATTGCTGAAATCACTTTTCGATTCAGTGGATATAGTACTTGGTATTGAATTATTTTGACTGAGTAAATGTACACTGCTAACCTGTGTGTCACATGACTTTGTTTCCTTTGACTTTTTGTTTTTCCTGGTATTAATCATTGCTTTGCCTTCCCCCCCCAGATGACTATGCCTTTTACATATTGTACCTATCACTAATTCTTCCCACATAATCTGTTTCTCAATACACATTTTGTTCCTCACACAGACACACTATAAGGCTTCCATCAATTCCATTTTTTCCCCTTGAAGCCTTTCTTTCTTTTGCTGTGGACTGTACTGCTGGCTGTTTTGCCTGTACACAGCTGCCATTCCTGGACTTCTCTGCATCCTCACAATTCTCTTTACCTCTTGTGTTGGACTCCTGTTTTACTGCATTTCAGTAAAGCAATCTTCTGGTAGCTTCCTTTGAAAGGAAGCATGGGAAATAGAAAACTTTTGAGAACTTGCATATCTAAAAATGATTAGGTCGAAAATAATCTTCCTTCAGAATTTTGAAGGCAAAACTATTTTGACATATTCTCATTGTCTTCTAGTTTCAGTACTGATTTCATTTTCTTCAGGCCTCTTAATTCTTATTTTTATTCTCTCTGGAAACCTTTAGAAGTTCCTTTTCCCCTGGAGTCCTGAAATTTCATTGTGATATGCTTTGGTGAAAATCTTGTTTTGAATTAGGGCCTTGAATTCCAGGGCTCAAGTGATACTCATGATTCAGCCTCCTGGATAGCTGGGGCTGCAGGTGCATCACTGTGACTGATCTTTTTTCATTCACTGTGCTAGGTATTTGGTGGACTCTTTCCATCTAGAAATTTAATAATGAATTCTTGAATTAATAACATTATCACTACCAATCTTTTCTATTCTTTCTGTAACTCCTGTTAGATGTTGGACCTTCTGGATTAACCATTTTTCTTAACCTTTTCTCCTTTATTACCATTTCATTTTTAAATGATTCCACCTTTTTGCAAAATTTTCTTAACATTATTTATAACCCTTCCAAACATTAGCCATCCATTATATTGGATTTTACTTATCCAATATGTCAATATATCCTTAAACATGTATGTTTTTATTGGATAGGTAAAATATTCACAATTTGAAATCCAAACATATCTAAGGATGGAAATGTAATGAAGTATCTCCTTCGAATTTGGTTCTCTAGTCCTCCAACTCTGAACAGGACACAACTTGTTTATTTTTACAGTTCTAAAACTCTTATTCTCCAGTTCTTCCTTTTAACAGCACTTCCTTTGTAGACACAGTATCTTCCTTGAGTTTTTATAATTGTATAATTGTAGCTTTTCCCTCTCTGAAGTTTCAAAAGTATCCAACTTTGCCATTTTTTTCTTGGTTTCAAAATTTCTATTTGCTGGTTTTGGTCTCTTTCATTTTTTAAGCTTTCTCAAATATTTAATGGACCTTGGCTTGAATTCTATTCACACTTAAGGGTGAGATGCTGAAAATCTGACTGGAAGCTCAACATAAATGACCTATTAACTGATGGGTTTTAATGTGGGGTTTTGATAAAACAGGGAGGTTTTTTTTTTTTTCTGTCAAGGAAACAACAAAAAAAAGTCAGTATTCAGTTTTTTTTCTCTTCACGTTCAATCTAATAATTCACCTCCATCCCCACCATGCCTACTACTAAGATCTGAGGCTCTGATGGTTCTCTCCAATGTCTTGAAATTTCACAGGACTCTTCATTCATTATACAGGGCACTTGGGGGCCCTGTTTGCCTGGAAATTCATGGTCTTCTTAAGTATTTCTCTTTTCCTTCCTATCATTTCTCCAGAAGTTGAATATCTCATTTCTTGCAAAGAAAATCAGCTGGATGAATCCAATGAAGTGAGGATAGGGGTTAAATTTTTCTTATACAGATCTTTGTATAACCTCCCTTTTTGGGATTATGAAGGGCACGCTGGCTTGCTTCTTAACAACCATTCCAGCAGGTAGAATCAAACTCATTGTGTTCTGCTAAGTTACCTTTCACTCTTTGATTTTTCAAAATATTGGTGTTTCTTATTCATTGTCATCTCCTGTTTTTCATATCACTGAATCAAGTGCCTTGTTTTCTTGGGGGGAGGATCGGAGATACGGGGGATTGAACTCAGGGGCACTTAGCGACTGAACCACATCCCCAGACCTAATTTTTTAAAAATAGTTTTTAGACCTTGATGGGCCTTTATTTTGTTCATTTATTTATATGCAGTGCTGAGAATTGAACCCAGTGTCTCACACTTGCTAGGCAAGTGCCCTACCACTGAGCTACAGCCCCAGCTCTGCCCCCAGCCCTATTTTGTATTTTATTTAGAGACAGTGTCTCACTGAGTTGCTTAGTGCCTTGTTAAATTGCTGAAGCTGGCTTTGAACTTGCAATCCTCCTGCCTCAGCCTACAAAGCTGCTGGGATTACAAGTGGTGACACCGTGCCTGGCTCAAGTGCCTTTTTAAAAGAATTTTTAAAATTAAAAATTAAATTATTGCAAGTGAACCCAGGGACTTTTACCACTGAGTTACATCTTCAGCTTTTTAAATTTTTTTAGACAGCCTCACAAAGTTTGCCTAAAATGGCCTTGAACTTGTGACCATCCTGTTTTAGCCCCCTGAGTAGCTGGGATTACAGGCATGTGCCACTGTGCCTGGAAAAAGAATTCCTTTACTAACATTTGAAAGAGATTGTTGGGAGGAAGCAAAAGATATTATTTAATTTTCATTTTGCTTTACTTTGAATGTGCCTTTCTAACCTTTTCTATTTGTTAGGCCAATCTCAGCATCACAAGTTGGTAGTTTTCCCTAAATATCCCAATTAGAAGACATCTCTCCTTTGTAAAAAAGTTTTATAGATCACTTCTGACTTCCATCATCAATCTGGTACAGATCAGAGATACCTTACAGTTACCTGTATTTAAGTGTCTTAGGTCCAGGTAATAACCTTCATATGCTGTCTAGGTACTAGATTCTGTACCTGATAAGACTGAAACAGAGATTTACTAAGAAAAAATTAAATCATTGCTTGGACAGTCTATTTTTTCCTCTTCGGAAATGTCTTTACCCCAAGGAGAGTTCACTATCTTCTTTCTGAGCTTTTTCCTTTCCACTTCACTGAAATGAAGAAAGGCACTCATTTTATCTATGACTTCCATGCCAGGGGGTCCCTTGTTACCAGTGACATTTGCCACACTAAGTATCAATAGAGGAAAGCACTAACTCACTCTATATGAAGGCAACAAAGAGTTCACAAAGGAACTGGGCAAGGTGGCTTAAACCTGTAATCCTAGCCATTTGGGAGGCTGAGGCAGCAGGATCACTGAGTTCAAGGTCAGCCTAGAAAACTTAATGAGGGCCTGTCTCAAAATAAAAAAAGGGCTGGGGATATACCTCAGTGGCAGAGTGCTTGCCTACCATGCACAAGTCCCTGGGTTCAATCCCCAGCACACATACAAAAAAAAAAAAAAAA